ATTATAACATATAATCCATCAAAATGGCCTACAAAGTGTTCTGTCATGGTTTTGCACATTACACAAATAAATCCCCTTTTAAAATAAAAATAAATGTCTTTTAATGTGTTTCTAAATTTTTTTCTAAGAATTTTATCTTCAGTATTTTGATTTTAAGGATTTTAGGCTTTCAGGGACTTTGATATTTTGGGATTATGGCCCAATCCCTGCAAGCAAGAGAGAGAGGAGCTGGGTCAGCTGAGTCCATCTCACACCTTTCCTTCTGGAGCATCTTTGCTGATGTGTACTCTTTAACCTACTATTCATTTTCCTCCTTAAAAAAAACATACTTTCATGTTCTAAATTATACCATCGATTGTGACAGAGCAAAGAAGTCCTGGTGGCTCAAGCACAGAACTATTCATAGCTAGATTAAAATCTCTGTGAACACAGGAAATGATTTATTACTTGCCAGACTACAGAGTCTTTCCCACAGTATATACTAAAAAATAAGTATTTATGGCATTCTGTTTCTGTTTCTTTCTTTTATAAACACATACCATATTGGTGCTTTCAGGACATTTTTACATGTAAATAGTCAATTAGTGAAATCCTAAGTATATCCAGTTCTCCTAAGACCTGCCCACATGCACAGAGACCTGGCGGTGGTTGGGCATCTAAGTTTGAAATGCAGATCTGAAAAGGAAGGCTGAAAGGCCTCCTGCTCCAGTCACTGCATCAGGGTCTCATTTATGAGTACTTCTGCCCTGCAGGACCACACGCTTGCTTCAGCTTCAGAAGAATGGAGTCTTCTCTGGCTCAGGCCACTAGAGAGACATTTGCCAGACCAAAACAAAGCCCAGCCTCCTCCAGTCAGCATGAGGTTCACGTTATTGTGACTCGGTTTCCTCATCTTTCAAATGGGAATAATGGTCCTTCATAGAAGGTTGTGGGATTAAAGGGAATAATACGATGCTGACGAGGAGAACGGTAACCACAGTAATTAACTTTTATCAAGCACTAAATGTCTTATCAGATAGCACTGGGCAAGCAGTCCCAGGTAATCCCTACAATGTGGTCCTGCTATTATACCCAGTTGAGAGATGAGGAAACTTCTAATGGAAAGACAATGTTTGCAAAGCACCAGCATAGTGACTCACATATACAGCTGCTTAGTTAATGTCAGTTTTAAACTTCATGGGACTGGAAGAACTTTTTGCTATTTTCAAGGACATTTTCTTCACAGAAAACTGCCATACCCTCCTCTGCTTCTGTATTGTTGGTGGATAAAGAGTTCCAAATTTTAACGCCTTTGTTTCCTTTGTTCATCTTGGAAGCATTTCACTTTACCTGAGTATGGTGGAGATGACTGTCTAAAAATTCATTGCCCTTTTCTAAAGTCATAGAATCATTGCAACTAGTGACTTAATTGCCAGCCTCCCTTGCAGTTAAGTTCTCCATTTGACTAGGCCTTTGCTGATGGGATGTAAGCAGATGAGATAGTCTACTACTGAGGTTTGTCTCCCCTCTTGTTCTTTCTCCCCACTTTTTCCAGCTGAAGCCCAATCAGGCAGTGACTCAGCATTAACTGTTAAACAACAAAGCTAGTTCATCAAACTATGGCCCATGGCCAAATCTGGCATGCCATCTGTGCTGATAAATACAGTTTTATTGTACCACACCCATTTATTTATGTATCTCCTATGAAGCCCCCCATGCTATAGTAGGACAGTTGAGTAGCTATAACAGAGACTGTATGACCCAAAAAAGTCTTCACAGAAAAAGTTTGCTGACCTCTGTTCTAAGGAAAACTACCAAAAGATGAAAGATAACCTAGATCCCTTGCATTTCTTTCCCCATAGATTATTTAGAAATATATTGTTTAATTCTAAAGCAACAGTGGACTTTCATTCTTTGTTATTGGTTTTTATAGCATTCCATTGTGGCCAAAGAACATAGCGTGAATGATTTCAATCATTTGGGCTTTTTTATGGCCCAAAACACAGTCCATTTTGGTAAATGCTTCGGAGGCACTTGAAAAGAATATGAAATCTGTGACCCCATTTTTTAAAGCTGCTTTTCATTCTGTGGTTATAAATAACTATTCCTACCATTGTTTGCTGGTCTAAAGCAATTTATCAACTGTTTGTTTCTCTGAACATAGACTCAACAAAAGTAGATGGAACCAATGTTAAAAGCCACAAGGAACACATTAATTCCTAAATGAGCACAATATTTCATTCTATTTTTATGTTGGAAAAGGAAAACAGTTCCTACTAAACATCTTATTACTTTTCAGTGAGCCCTGTGAACGCAGTACAGAAGTTATATTGACTCCAGAAATGATCCAAGCAGAATTCTTTATGTTGGACCACAAGGACACCAAGCAGAAGTAAGTACATGCTCTTATGCCTTATTAAGAGCCAGCCTTGGATAAATGTGTCCTACATGAAGTTTGGAACTATCATTTTATCTGAATCTAAACATCTCAAGCTTTGAAAGGGCCACATTTCCAATGCTTCATATACTTAAATGTACATTCTATTTTATGCACAATTAGCTCCTTCTAATGTTGGCAGGTAAGTATTTAACAACCAGATCCAGTATTTTCATTTGCTTGTCATTTGATTTGTTTTATTTCTTATCAACAGCTGATTAAGCTTTGTGCAATGTAATGAATAAAGGCTCCAGACCAAAGATCATACGTGAGGCTGAATCCTAACTCTTGTGTATCACATCTGAGATCGTTAGCCAAGTTAGATAACTTCTCTGGGCCTCAGTTTCTTAATCTGTACCACACAGAAAATAAAATCTCTTTCACAGAGTATTTGTGAGGATTGAATGAGCTGCCAAATGTGGAAAGTATTTTTTCTTTCTCTCCTAATCATGGGGCTAATTAGCCAAGATAACATCATCTTTTCAAAAATTAGTTTGGGAGGGCTGGGGATTTAGCTCAGTGGTGCCATACCTGCCTTGAAAGCACGAGGTCCTGAGTTCGATCACCAGTACTGTAAAAAAAAAATTAGCTTGGGAGAATATTTCTGTGATGTAAACAACAACCTATAGTTTATATGGGGGTTTGTTTGTTTTTGCACAAGGGATCAAACTCAATACCTTGTGTTTGTGAGGTAGGCACTTCACCACTGAGCTAAATCCCAGGCCCTCATATGGTTTTAAGTTTAAAATTCCATGTATTTTTTAAATTCTTTTATGTTTAAAATTGATTTTTTTAAAAATCAAAGTACAGTATGGGAAAAAATGAGAACCAAGATCTGTCATGTAAAGGTACAAGATCGCAATGATAAATGTAACTGTGCTGTATACTTAAAAAGTACCAATAAATTCAATGAAAAAAACCCCAAAATATATAAGAACAGTAAGTAATGTTCTAGAGGTAGTAACTTAAAATTAATTCACATTATACATACTGTTTTGACTTCTGCACTTTAACAATATATCATAAACATACTTATGAAGGTAGACATGCGTCATTATATTTTATTGAGTACATGTATAATAATTTATTTAACCAACTCCCTAAAAATGAACATTTCAGTGATTTTCTGTTTTGCTGGATCAACAGTGTTATAACAAATATCTTTTGTACCATAATTCCTTGAAAACTTATCAGAACATTTCCTTATGATAAATTCTTAGAACATAAATGCTACCTTAATATGCATTTTAAGGTGCTTAATTACCAACCACAAACTATATCAAAATACCCCTCCCAGCAGAAGTCAGAACTGCCTATATTCAAATGCCCTGGGCAATGTGGAATGCTTTTTTTTTTCTCTCTCTCTCATTGAGTGTATTGGTACATTCTAGGTATACAGTACAGTTACATTCATCATGGGGTCTTGTACCTTTACATGGCAGGTCTTGGTTCTTGTTTTTTTCCCCTTACCCCTGCCCTCCTTCACCATTCCACCCTTTCCTATTTACAAAAATTTTGTTTCAGTTTTTTCCTTTTCTCATATTTTTTCTTTTCCTTCCCTTCCAACTTCCCCTACTCCTAGTTTTTCTTTATCAACAAAGTTTTGACAGAAATTTTTAAAAGACCATCTGTTGATTTAATTTCTTTGCTTTAAAATTTCTCTTTTGCCTATCAACTAGTTTTTCTTCATTTATGAGATGCTTACTTTGCCTGTTTCTTACTTATATCAGTCTCTCACATATTCAGGTAATTACCTTTGCCGTAGATGTGTTTCCTTAGTTTGTTTTCTGGTTTTGCTAGGGGATTTTGCAAGGGTCTGGTGTTTCCAAAAGGCATGCTCGCCTGTCTCAGAGCAGTATTGTGTTTCTCTGGCTTGTTTGTGATCTTTTCAGGGGCCTGCAACAACTGGCATTTCTTGGAAAACAGATGGGCAGCTTCTCATTAAAAAATATTAGGAGGGTCGGGGATTTAGCTCAGCGGTTCCATGGCCTGTCTTGCAAGGTCAAGGACCCGAGTTCAATCACTGGTACCAAAAAAAAAAAAAAAAAAAAAAAATCAGGAAAAAATTAGGAAATAAACATTTTTAAATAGAATTTCATTCTTCACAAAACTGGAGAAAAATAATCCTAAAATTCATATGGAACCAGAAAAGACCCAGGATAGCAAAAGCAATTCTGGGTAAGAAGAGTAAAGCAGAAAGCATCACAATCTCAGATTTGAAGTTATATTACTAAACTACAGTGGTAAAAACAGCATAGTGGCCAGGCATGGTGGCACACGCCAGTAAACCCAGCACTTGGGAGGCTGAGGCAGGAGGATTTCTGCAAGTTCGAGACCAGCCTGGGCTACACAGTGAGTTCCAGAGCAGTCTGAACTATACAGTGAGACCCTGTCTCAAAAAAAAAAAAAAAAAAAAAAAAAAAAGCATAGGACTTTCTCCAAAACAAACATGAGGATCAACAGAACAAGATTGAGATTCGGAAATAACCCTAAGCACATTTCACCATTTGCTCATTGACAAAAGGGACAAAAACATACACTGGATGAAAGATAAGACTCCTTATTAAATGGTGTTGGGAAAACTGGCTATTCTAATGCAGAAGACTGTGGATCATCATCACCATGTGCTAAACTAAAATAAAAATGGATCAGAGGGAAAAGAAGGGTGGGGTGGTGTGTGACAACTCAGCTTCTCCAAAATTTGGAATCCAGACACTGAAAAATAATAACTTCAGAAAGAAAAAAATAGATTCTGGGAACCAAGAGAGACCTGACAGGAAAATTACAAGCTCTGAGAAACTGAATAGACAGAACACAATGCAGAGGAGTGACGAGATAGGCTGTGTTTTCTCCCAGGCTGCAGGTTTGCAGCTCCTGGGAAAGGGAGACCAAACCCAGAGACAAAGTGAAACTGGAAATCCAAGGAGGCCTTAGGGAGAAACACAGTGGGCAAGAGAATGGATCAGTGGTTGCTGTGATCTCCTGAGACAGCTCCCACACTGAAGTCCTTTGATGGGCAACCACTGATGAGTGACAAGAGCCAGCCATATCCCTACAAAGAGTAGTTGGTAGGACGCCGTTCCAGGGAAGGGTTGATTATTTGAACCTAGGACTCAGAGCAGCCACACGGCTTCATTTCAGATCTCCCAGTGTTACATTCCCACAGCGACTGGGTGAGAGACAGCCTTAGGAGACAGCCACAGTCAGGGAGCAGACTGAAAAGAAGCCAGACTTCTGAGGAAAAAATAAAAACAAAGATACATCATGTAAAGGTACGAGATCTCAGTGATGAATGTAACTGTATTGTACACCTAAAATGTACCAGTAAAGAAAAAAAAAGAAAGAAACCTGCTGAGGAGTCTGAGTTTAAGAATGCAGGTCTTGCTCCTGCAGCCAAAGTCCAGGTCCAGGCTGAGTTTCTCTGGATTTGAAAGTCACAGCATTGGCACCCTCACCTTACTCCTCTTGCTGCCTGCTGATGCTGCATCGAGTCCAGATCTGGTGTTTAACTATCTTCATTGTCTACCAGTGCAAATGGATATGTCTTGACTTGGACACTGCCGTGTTACATTCCCACAGCGACTGGGTGAGAGACAGCCTTAGGAGACAGCCACAGTCAGGGAGCAGACTGAAAAGAAGCCAGACTTCTGAGGAAAAAATAAAAACCAAGATACATCATGTAAAGGTACAAGATCCCAGTGATGAATGTAACTGTATTGTACACCTAAAATGTACCAGTAAAGAAAAAAAAGAAAGAAACCTGCTCAGGAGTCTGAGTTTAAGAATGCAGGTCTTCCTCCTGCAGCCAAAGTCCAGGTCCAGGCTGTTTCTCTGGATTTGAAAGTCACAGCATTGGCACCCTCACCTTACTCCTCTTGCTGCCTGCTGGTGCCTGCGAGTCCAGATCTGGTGTTTAACTATCTTCATTGTCTCCCAGTGCAAATGGATATGTCTTGACTTGGACACTGCCCCAAAAGTGTAGATCCTGGAAGAAAAATAGGCATTCAAAATCAAAGATAAATTTTTTTCTTTTCTTTCTTTCTTGTTTTTTTGTTTGGGGTGTGTGTGTGTGTGTGTGTGTGTGTGTGTGTGTGTGTGTGTTTTCTACTCTTCTTCTCTAGTTTATTGGTGGCTTGAAAAAGTCGTTTTGTCTTTTTTCCTTGCTTCTTTTTTTTCTAAATCTTTTCCTTAATTCTTTTGTTCTTTCTTTTCTTCTTTTTAATTTTTCACCCTTTCTTTTTTAAAATCTTTTTGTTCTCCATTTAATTTTTTTTCCTCTTTTTTCTTTTATTTTCTGTTTTTCATCAGTTTTCTCTGTTATTTTATTCTGTAATCATCCTTCTACACCCATTAGGATCCTTTGCCCCACTTAATAGATAAGAAAGTAGTACTATTATGCCATAAAGAAAAATAAAATCAAAATGTTATATGAATTAAATCAGACACTAAATTTAAATATTGCATAGTTTCTCCTGTGAGAGAAACCCAATAAAGAACAAAATGAAAAGATAATAGGAAGTAGGGAACTAGATCGTTCTCAAATAGGAAGGGGATCAAGAGGTGGAGGGCACAGGGAGGGGAGGAAGAGGAGGTGCATGAAAAAAGGATTTAAGATGTGCTATTAGCATATACTTGTCCCCAGGAAGAATTTAATCATTATATACTGCAATATGTACTAATAAAAATAAAATTAGAAAAAATGGATCCAAAAAATGAAATGTTAAAACAGAAGCACTTAATATGCTGGAAAACAAAATAGGCAAAACTCTTGAAGGCACAGGCACAGGCAAAGATTTTCTGAACAGAACCCCAGTTGCATGGAAAATAGTACCAAGAATCAGCAAAAGGGATGACATCAAATTGAAAACCTTCTGTACAGCAAAAGAAACAACTGACAAGAGTGAAGATAAAAGCTACAGAATTGGAAAAAATTTTGCCAGCTATTCCATGGACAGAGGACAGCATCTAGACAGTATCTACAATAAAGAACTCAAAAAATTACAGCCCCAAAATAAAAGACCCAATCAACAAATGGGCAAGTGAAACGAACACATTTGTACTTCTTCTGAGAAGTAAATATTCATTTCTTCTCAGAAGAAGAAGTACAAATGGGCAGTAAATACAGGAAGAAATTCTCAACATCCCTGGCCATTAGAGAAATACAAATTAAAACAACACTGTGATTCCATCTTACTTGAGAAAGAACAGCTGTCTTCACAAAATCAAATAATAGCAAATGTAGAGAGGCTTCAGGGGGGAAAAGTGACACTTCTACATTGGTGGTGGGACTGTAAACTGGCACAGTAACTGTGGAAATCAATGTGGAGATGCCTCAGAAAATTAAACCTAGAAATTCCATTTGACCCATCTATTTCTATTCTAGCTATCTTCCCAAAAGAGTTAAAAAACATCACATCACAATGATACATGCATACCCACTGTTAGCTAAACTTGAAAGCGGTCTATATGCCCACCAAAAACTGCATGGATAAAGAAAATGTGGTATTTATACACAAGGGAGGACTACCCTGCCATAAAGAAAGAGAAACTTGAGTGATTTGTAGGAAAATGGATGCATCTTGAGATCATAATGTTAAGTGAAATAAATCACTCATGCACTCTTAAATATTGCACTGTTTCTCTTATATGGGAAATCCAAGTTACAAGTAAAGACCAAAATAAAGCATAGGTAATAGGAAGAAGGAAAACAGATCTTTCTCAAATGGGAAGAGAGAGGATCAAAAGATGGAGGAGGGGAGTCGGGTGTGGTGGCGCACGCCTGTAATCCCAGCACTCGGGAGGCTGAGGCAGGAGGATCACTGTGAGTTCAAGACCAGCCTGGGCTACACAGTGAGTTCCAGGGCAGTCTCAACTACATAGTGAGACCCTGTCTCAAAAAACAAAATAAAGAAAGAAAGAAAAAGATGGAGGAGGGGAGGGACAGGAGCAAAGGGAATGAAACATACATGTACCAACTCCACGCAAGGAATGCAAGCATAATGTACTGCAAGCATGTACTAATAAAAACAGATAAATAAATAGGGCTGGGGATTTAGCTCAGTGGTTCCACGGCCTGCTTCACAAGTGTAAGGTCCCGAGTTCGATCCCCGGTACCAACAATAAATACATAAATGGATAGATAAATAAATGGCAACAGTATGGTTGACATGGGGTGGGGGGCACCACACTGCCTGTCTGGCTACGCTCACGCTGCAGTAGAGAATGGCAATTTGAAGTAAGATGTCCCATCCCACTGTAGGCGTGAGAAAGAGTAAAAGGAAGCTAACAGGAAGGACATGCTGGCTGCTAGCCAAACCGTCTTCCCCTTCCAGCCTGCCCAGAGAAAATGAGGGTCAGGTGCTTCTCTTCTATCTTACTTCAGCCTGTTAGAGAGCAGGAGCTCTGTCAGATACCACATGCAACAAGCAGGTGGACAAATGGAGCAGAACAAAAATAACACATAAGTGGTATTTAATTTCCCCCATCCAAACTGCCATCTGGGGCTGCGGATGCAGCTCAGTGGTAGAGCCCTTGCCTAGCTGTGGGTTCTATCCTTGTTGCCACAAAAGAACAGGAAGAAAGGGGGCAGGGGATGGAGATTTAGTTCAGTGGTTCCGCCTCAAAAGTGCAAGGTCCCAAGTTCAATCCCCAGTACCAAAAAAAAAAAAAGAAAAGACAAGAGAGAGGGGGTGAAGGGATGGCTGGGGAATGGGGAAAAATAAGAACCAAGATAAGTCATGATGAACTGTATTGTATACCTAAAATGTACCAATAAACTTAACAACGATCTTTTTAAAAGAAAAGGAAGGAGGGAAGAAGGCAGGGAGGGAAGAAAACATCTCAGAATCATTTAAGTCTCTCAACTGCAGCTCTTATCTGTACCTTCCCCTTTGGCCCCAGCCCACCAGGAGGCAAGATGACCCCTAAGTCCAGATACTTCGCATCTCTAAGGCCTTGTCTTAACTACCAGTCATACCCCTTAATTGCCACCCTTGTTTTATGCAACGTCCAGCTAAAGCGCTATCCAGAAATCTCTGGTCACGCCCATCATCAGGCTTTGCCCCACAGGGGCCATTGCTGGATCAAGTGCATAAACCCACCTTCTGCAGCCACTGTCAGCATCAGAAATCAAATGTACTTATAAAGGTGAAAACCCAGCTAACGCTGACTGAGCATTTATGGAAGACATCATACCAGGATCTCTGTGAATAAATTCTCATTTCGTCATCACAGTTATTCCCAAGATAGGAATTAGCAAGGGCCACAGGTAGGGACTGGACATTCAGGAAACTTGTTCATGCTAGGAAGCTGGTGCAGCCAAGACCGGAAGCCAGATCTGAATCCCCTGCAAGCTGAGGGTTCGCAGCTGTCAGTAAATTCTCACTAAATATAATTAAAACTTTCCTTATATATTAGAATAAAAACTCCAGCCTTCTCTGGCAATGCAGGGTGTTTCATATTTTATCGAGTGCATGCCTTTTTGGTTTTTTTTGTTGTTGTTTTATAGAGAAGTGAAAGACCAAGCACAACCAGCAGAGAAAGCAGGAGAAAAGGTGACTGAGGAAATGAAGACCCTGCAGAGCAAAGCTCTCAACACGTACCTGATAATAGAATAAAAATCACGGAGGTCAGTTCCTCTTGTTTACTTCCTGCAAGTCACTGGAGTCCTTTGTGTTTTACATTCCAACCATTTTTGGGATTAAAGTTTCAAGAGAAAATAAATTTTAATGTGGATATAAAAATATCTAAAATTACAATTTTTCTTTCTAAAAATAAAATGGCGTCAGTATGATGGCAACGTCAGAAGCTTCTTGGTGCAAGATTTAGTGCTGGAACAATGCCTTTCTGAGCAAGATGTGAGCCACTGTGGTGAGAGACAAAGAGCCAGGCGCTTACAGCTGTTTCTGAGTCTTGGGAGGTACGGTGCCCCTGGGAGCCAGAAATAGATGGACTGGGGAGGGCACTGCACAGCTCTGCACAGAGCCAGCACCACTAACCTTGGCTTTGGCCACTCCCGTGATGAGCACTGTGGGTGCAGGCACTGGCTCCCCGGGTAGCTGTGCCAGCAATGGACCCTGGCAAAGAGGGACTGGACCTGGAGAGGACACAGAGATGATGAGAGCTTACAGACTGGTTTGAAAACCACTGGAAAACTTAAAGTCTGTGCTCTCACAGCACCTGGCAGCAGGTTGGTTATTGTGGAGAGGCAGGAATCTTGATGGATGTGTTTTGGTAAAAACAGGCCTTTTGATTGTGTTTGTTAACACTGTTACATTCATATGGCACAGGCTAATAAGACTGAAGATGTTATAATAACCCAAAAGTATCCAAATATATTTGAGTGTATTCCCTCCACTTATTTGTCTATGCATAAGTATATATACATATGAGGTGTGATCAAAATATATGTAATATATGTAAATGTTTAAAGTAAAAATTTTTATTTTAAACCCCCTCAGAATATTTCCCCTGGCGTTGAACACATTTATCTCATCATCCCTGCCACTTTCGGAACAGTGTCTTTACTGGGTGATCAAAATTATGGTGACTCCCAAAGCTGTGTGCTTTGTGACAGAAAGGCACACTTGTGAAAACACCATAGTGTATTCTCTGGCTCACCCCAAAAGTCAAAATAACCATGAAAGTTAAACGTTTCGATTCTTCAAGACATTGAGGCAGCCACAACAGCACAACTGAAGATACTCATGAAAGAAAACTTTCAGAACTGCTTCAGAAAGGGGAAAGATCGATAGGTAAGTATTTCTGAAGCAAAGAGAAGTACATATTTGGCAATGTGTCTTTTACTGTAACAAAATTTTCACCCTTTTTTTTTTTTGGTACTGAGGATTGAACTCTGGACCTTGTACTTACAAAGCAGGCAACAGCACCACTGAGCTAAATCTTTGGCCCATCAAAGTTTTCACTATTTTTTTCTGTTTTTTTTTTTTTTTTTAGACAGGGTCTCACTATTTAGTTGAGGCTGACCTGGAACTTACTATATAGCCCAGGCTGGTCTCGAACTCACAGCAATCCTCCTGTCTCAGCCTCCCGAGTGCTAGGATTACAGGCGTGTGCCACCACACCCAGCTTCCACCATAACTTTTAATCAAACCTTATAAATCTATTTCAGCTTCTGTACCTATAAACAAGAGCAATTTCTTTTTATTTTTCTTCCTGTCTTCAAGGGCCATCCTGAGGCTGTGGCTCCTTAGAAGGGTACTGACAGTGTTGGAAATTTAGTGTCACCTGGTGGATGTGGATGCCTCAGTAAAGGCCTTTTCTGACATTTTGAAACCTTAGCTCCATTCCAACCATGAACTAAAGTAATTCACAAATATGAATTATCATCAGTTCCTTTCTTCCTTTCAAGATCACCTTTAGGTAGGAAAAATGCAAGGAAACCTTACCCGTATTTTTTTCTGCAGTCAAACCCGTAAGATCTATTTTCTGTAGTGAAATTCTTGGCCATGTGAAGTTTAGGGGTTCTCTACAGGATCAATTATCCAGGTTCTCCAGGGATTATGGATATAATCAAGGCCTAGCTCAGTGAATGAGTATCTTGAGGTCAGCTCTTTCTCTTGCATTCACTTGGATTATTACATCTTTCTCTGAGACCCAAGAAAAATGTAACCAAAGATTCTCAGGATAATTTGCTCCCATTCCTTCACTTTAGAAATAATTATAATTGTTTTGTTTTTCTTTTGGGTTTTTTTTTTTTTTTTGAGACAGGGTCTCACTATGTAGTTGAGTCTAACCTGGAACACACTATGTAGCCCAGGCTGGTCTCTAACTCACAGCGATCCTCCTGCCTCAGCCTCCTGAGTGCTGGGATTACAGGCGTGCACCACCACATCCAGCTGCTTTCTTTTTTAAGGACTTTTATTTTGTGAACTATTTTCTCAATAATCTTGTCTTAGCTTTCCATTACTGGGGGAAAATTACCTGACACCTGCAATTTAAAGGAAAAGAGGATTATTGACTTACGGTTTCAGAGGTTTCAGTCCATGGATAGCTGACTCCAGTGCAGAAACATCACGGCAGAAGGGCATGGCAGAGAAAAAGTGCTCAACATCGGAGAAGTAGAGAGCAGAAAGCCCCATGTCCCACCCAGACACACCTAGAAGTATGCTTTATTAATCTCCTGGCATCTCTTAAACCAGTCAAATTGACAATCAAAATTAACCATCACAGTTCCCCCACAACACTCTGAGTCACAGAGTAACCACAGGTGTAATATTCCTTATACGAAATGCTTCAGAGCAGAAGTGTTTCAGACCACATTTGTCCTGATTGGGGGATATCTTCATATAGACATGGGACCAAGTTTAAACACAACATCCATTTACATTTCATGCACATCTTGCCTGCACAGTCTGAAGGGAATCTTATACCATATTTTTTGTGCCTGCATTAGACTATGAGCCATCACGTGCGTGAGAACAGGTGTGAAATTTTCCTCCTGTGGTACCTTGTCCATAGTGGATTTGTAACATTTCAGATTTCAGATTTTTAGATTAAGTATGTTCATTTATTACATTTATTAATTATAAATGTTATTACTGTGACAGGCATGGGAAAACTGATGCCCAGAAAAGTTTATTAACAGAATTAACAAAAGAACTGAGTTTAGGCAGAACTCGGAATTCCTCATTCCCAGCCCACTCTTTTCTTTATAACATGATAATCAGTGAAATTATTACAGTTTTAGATTTAGATTTTATTTAAACTCTTAGATTTGGAATCTCCAGGCATAAAAATATTGCATTATAATGTTTACATGTTACTTCATTACTTGTTCTTTAAAATATGTAATATGGAAAAACTATAAACTCGCCACCACCAATAAGCAAACAAATAACAACAGCACCACCAAACATAAAAGAAGGAAATCCATTGGCACGTTTGCTCCAACAGGGCTGCAACCACGTTTTACTGATATCCACTTACATTGTGCACATTATGTTTGCTATAGGAAAAACAGGACTTGAACCTAATAGGTGACTTTAGAATCCAGAACACTGATGAGGAATGTACCCGATCCTGACAAATAAGGGTATCGTCTCTGTCAATTTAATAGAGCTGCATAGTTGCCCTGCCTCTTGTTAAACAAGTGGAAATAACAGCATTGGTTTCCTGGGATTGTTGTGAGATTAAATGAGATAATGACAGCAGCAATGATGCAGAGTGAGTACACGATCACTATTAACCGGGACTGCAGAGTTTATACGTTGGGGGTCTGGGGCTGAGTCCTTCCCACCTCCACCCACTCACCTCCCACTCTCCGGTAGCTAAGCTGCAGTCGGAGCAGGACGGAGCTCAGATGATGGGGACGGGGCGGGAAGTGGAACTGCACCCTGAGCAGCACTAAAGCTCTGTTTAAGCCTTCAGGCCTGGTGCCAGGTGAGTGATCAAAGTGGGGAGGGTTGGAGTATGGATTCTCTGGAGGCAGGGAAATAGGCTGATTGGCCCAGTTCTCTCAGGTCTTTTCCAAAGTCGTGGAGGAATCAGTCTCAGTTCTCTTTATGCAGAACTCGCAGTCCTACCCTTGCAGTTCAGACCCCAGGGCACTTGCCCTGCTTTCACTAGAAAGCACCAAAGAAAGGGCTTTCATCATGAATGCAGAGAGATCCATCTCTCTGGAGGACATCTTACAGGAGGCCCCTGTCCAGGGATCAAACTCAGGTCCTTGTGCTTGTGAGGCAGGTGGCAGAACCATTGAGCTAAATCCCTGGCCCATGGTAAGCATATTTTTATATGCTTTTTGCCTATTTGTATACCTTCTTCAGAGAAAGTTCTACTCGAGTAATTTTCCCATTGAGTTCTATATATATTCTATGTATCCATATTCTGGATACAATATCCTTATCAGATGTACAATGTGCAACATTTTCTCCTGTTGCGTGGATTTTCTTTCCACTTTTCATGGTAGTGTTGTGATGCACAGAAGTTTTTATGAACAGTAACTGATCAGCCTACTTCTAAAAACAATTTTTTTTTTGTACCGGGCTTTGAACTTTGGACCTTGTGCTTGTAAGGCAGGAGGCAGGCAGTGGAATCACTGAGCTAAATCTCTGGCCCTAAAAGCACATTTTTATACAGCAATTTGTTATAGAAATTTCCAAACACACAAAAGTAGAGCATGGTATAATGAAGAATTGAACCTTTGATGCCCTTTCAACAGTAATATTTTGTCTGTGTTATTTCATTTCATCTGTGCCTTTGTTAGGTTTTTCCTGAATGAGACAAAATATTATGACATTATGTTTTTCACCTATAAATACTTCAATATGCATCTCTAATAAGGATTTTTTTGGTTTATATAAACCCCATACTGTTATCTTACCTGACAAAATAAACAGTAACTCATTAACATCTTCTATAAGATCCCTGCTGAAATTTCTCCTCAAAGGTGTCACTTTTACATTTAGTTTGTTTGATTCAGGATCCCAGAAAAAGCTGCACACTGCATTTAACTGTTCTGTTTCTCAGATTTCTTTTCATAACAAACCCTCCTCCCTCCATAATTTTGTTATTGATTTGTTCGGTAAACCACTTCATTTGCCCTGTAGAATATCCCACAGTCTAGATTTTTGCTAAGGTCATGGCACCATTTACAAACAAATAACTGAGCGGCCAAAGTTGGGAATCTCAGAACTGAACTCATTAGTACTTGCTATTAACTTGTTCACACGAACTGTGCTGGACCTTACACATACATGAACTGACTTTATCCCCACCAACAACAGGAGGTAGGTGGTACTCTTATCCCTGTTTTACAGATGAGAACACTAGGCTCAGAAAGATTCACTTGCCCAAGATCACAAAGCCAGCAAAGGATGGAGTCAGATTTAACCACGGCAATTTAGCTCCAGCATCTGAAGCCTTTTGTAGACTTACATCTGTTTCCTGAAGCCCTTTGTGGTAAACAGGGTGCTTTTCAAGGCCAAGATTGAGGGGAAGATCCCAGAGCAGATCTTCTTTTCAGGGACCTGTTACTTGAAGTGCCTCTCCCCTGGGCTTTACAAAATGACAGCCCATGTAGCTATTTTCCCAGGATGAGGAGTATAATTGGGCCCTTTGAGACAGATTATCTTCTTCACTTTAGAGAGAGGGGATCCAAAGTCCAAGAAATGACACCCTTTACATTTAAGGTCTCTTTGCTTAGGCCGGCTGCAGCATGCCCAGGCATGACTGTCAGCTAAGTCCTTAAGCTCATAGCTTTGGCCGAAGCCTGACTCCAAGGCCCATATGGCTCCAGGTCTCAACATCCTCACCTTTCTGTCCAGGAGGTGAGCCCTGTTCCCTAGAAGCTGGAATGGAAGAGAAAGCCTGACAGAAGCCAGACCCAGTTGGGAGCATTAGGTACACAGATCAGAGAGAATCTGTATGGGGGCACAGGCAGTAATGGAAAATATAGCACATAGGGATGGAGGGGCCGGGGGAGCTGCTATGTGGGGATAATTAACTTCAGGGATCCACAGATTTTTCACTGAGCCAAATATTATTCTGTGAGCCAGGCTGTAAAGTGATGAGTATGACTGTGTTCCAATAAAACTTTATTTACAAAATGGGGTGGCAAACTGTTTGGCTCACAGACAAGCTGATCCCCTGACCTAGTTCACATTGCCGCTGGGAAGAAACGGCCATGTGAGGTAGACTGCACAGAGTGAAGCATTTGGGGGCAGCTGGTGAGCAGCAGACGCCATAATGATAAATCTCGGACCCTTGAGCGCTTCCAGGCAGGAAAAGCCACCACAGACCTGGCAGTCAGATGGGAACGGACCCCGATGGGACTCGTGACACGCGGGGCTGCCGTTCCTAGCAGGGTTAACCCGGATGGCCTAAGTCTCCGGCGGCAGTTTCCGCAGGCTGCAGAGCGCGCCAAGGTGCTCCCTTGAGGTGGAGCCTCCGGCCCGGCCGGGGCAGCTGCCGGCCGCTCCCCGCTCGGCA